GCAAGCAGTTGTTTCTAACGTCCCTGTGGCTCATTTGGGTACTCAGTCTCCACTTGTGTCCCCTTGTTCGTGTCCCAGCCGTGTTACATAATATATCTTTGTCTAACCTGTGAATTCCCCCTGATAGCTGAGTAGACAGCGCTCTGTTCTTGTAATCCTAGGTTCCGGGTTCGATCCCGGTGACGGCAGAAACAAAATGGGCAGAGTTTATTTCACCCTGATGCACCTGTTACCTAGCAATAAATAGGTACCTGGGGGTTATACAGCTGTTACGGGCTACTTCCTGGGTGTGTGCGTGTGGGGGGGGGGGGAATTAGTTAGAAGTAGTAACAGTTGAATGATTGACAGTTGAGAGGCGGGACCAAAGAGCCAGAGCTCAACCCCCGCAAGCACAATTAGGCGAGTACAATTAGGTGAGTTCACACAGGAAGCAGCCTCTAACAGCTGTCTAACTCCCAGGTACCTATTTATTGCTAAATGAACAGGTCATCAGGGTGAAAGAAACTCTGCCCATTTGTTTCCGCCTCCGCCGGGGATCGATCCCCGGACCCAGAACTACGAACTTCGAGTGCTGTCCACTCAGCCACCCGGCCCCCCTTGTAGGCCTGTAGTAGTTTGTTTGGGCGTGAACCCTTTTGTGAACTCCGGGGCCTTCAGTCCCACTCGTTGCAGTGGCGTTTCGGCTCAACCCCCGCAAGAACAACTAGGTGAATACACACACACACACACACACACACGTACATGGGTGTGCGTGTACATGTGGAGCACGTTCATGAGTGTTCGTGTGAGCGTATGTGACTACCGGTATGGATTTTGTTTTCCATCCACACACACACACACACACACACACACACACACACACACACACACACACACACACACACACACACACACACACACACACACACACACACATGTGTGTGTGTGTGTGTGTGTGTGTGACACAGAAACCTAAGTAAGGAGGCATTTAGGGCGCTTTACACTGCCTACGTAAGGCCAGTCTTAGAGTATGCCGCCTCATCATGGAGTCCCCATCTGAAGAAGCATATAATGAAACTGGAAAAGGTTCAGAGGTTTGCAACGAGACTCGTCCCAGAGCTACGAGGGATGGGGTATGAAGAGCGCCTGAGGGAACTGTGCCTTACGACACTAGAAAGAAGAAGGGAGAGGGGGGACATGATAGGAACGTATAAGATACTCAGAGGAATTGACAGAGTGGACATAGACGAAATGTTCACACGGAATAGTAACAGAACGAGAGGACATGGATGGAAGCTTGAAACTCAGATGAGTCACAGAGATGTAAGGAAGTTTTCTTTTAGCGTGAGAGTAGTGGGGAAATGGAATGCACTTCAGGAACAGGTTGTGGAAGCAAATACTATTCATAATTTTAAAACCAGGTATGATAGGGAAATGGGACAGGAGTCATTGCTGTAAACAACCGATGCTCGAAAGGCGGGATCCAAGAGTCAATGCTCGATCCTGCAAGCACATATAGGTGAGTACATATAGGTGAGTACACACACACACACACACACACACACACACACACACATCCCCAGGAAGCAGCCCGTAGCACCTAACTCCCAGGTACCTATTTGCTGCTAGGTAACAGGGGCATCAAGGGTGAAAGAAACTCTGCCTATTTGTTTCCTCCAAAGGTCCGGGGATCGATCCCCGGATCCTTAGACTACGAACCCCAAGCGCTGTCCACTCAGCCACAAGGCCACCCTCTGGTGTGTGAGCGTGTATGCATGTGCAAGCACATGCATAGCTATGTGCACGCATGTACACCTGCACGAGCACATGGACGTGTGTGCACGTGTTAGGAGGTTGGCGCGGGTTCCCGCCGGTTCCAACTGTGTTTACATCCGGCAGCGGCCAGTACCACCCGCTCACGAACGCTCGCAGTTGCTAGGTTTTCCCTGTGTTGACGCCCACACCAATCCGGTCAATGTTATCGTTCTCGTACCTTTCCAGGGTTCATCAAGCATTTACCCAACCACTTCCGGAACGTGGCCAGATACACGAAGCAGTTGCGCAAGCACTTACGAGCCCTGTACATCTTTTCTCAATATTTAGCGGCTTTGTTTACAATTATTAAACCGTTAATGAGCTCCGTAGCACCAGGAGGCTGTTTATAACAATAACAACAGTTGATTGGCAAGTTTACAAGCTTGTAAACTGTTTAATAAATGTAATCAAAGCCGTCAAAGATTCACGAAAGTTGTACACCTGCGTAAGTACTTGCGTAACTGTTTCGTGAATCTGGCCCCAGGCTATACATCTTTCCTCAATCATGGCGGCTTTATTATTTCCATTAAAACAGTTACGAAACGTCTGAAACTTCAAACCCCAAATTTATTATTGTTACAATCTCGTAGTGCTTCGTCGGGGATTATAAACTGTTTATAAAATGTAAACAAAATCGCCATGATTGATGACAGATGTAGAGGTTTCGTAGGGAGGATTAGGTATACACTTGATAATCCCTGGTAGGTATCGCGTGTTAACTCACCCTATTTTACCTTCGATAATTGCAACTTATTTGTTATGCATGGGATTTCAGGGATTTAATTTTCTATGTTATGGTGTGCTATATGCTATGTTATGGTGTGCTATATGCTATGGTGTGCTATATGCTATGTTATGGTGTGCTATATGCTATGTTATGGTGTGCTATATGCTATGGTGTGCTATATGCTATGTTATGGTGTGCTATATGCTATGTTATGGTGTGCTATATGCTATGTTATGGTGTGCTATATGCTATGCTCTGGTGTGCTATATGCTATGCTCTGGTGTGCTATATGCTATGCTCTGGTGTGCTATATGCTATGTTCTGGTGTGCTATATGCTATGCTCTGGTGTGCTATATGCTATGCTCTGGTGTGCTATATGCTATGCTCTGGTGTGCTATATGCTATGCTCTGGTGTGCTATATGCTATGTTATGGTGTGCTATATGCTATGCTCTGGTGTGCTATATGCTATGCTCTGGTGTGCTATATGCTATGCTCTGGTGTGCTATATGCTATGCTCTGGTGTGCTATATGCTATGCTCTGGTGTGCTATTGATGTACTATTACACATCTCTTGTAATAGCAGCGGCTACAAGAGATGTACAATAGTAGGAACATTAGTAATAATAATAATTGGTGTATTAGCAGTAGAACTCTGAAAAATTGCCACTTTATTAACAGTATAAAATATAGTAGTATTAGTATGTCTATTTTGACCAGACCACACACTAGAAATTGAAGGGACGACGACGTTTCGGTCCGTCCTGGACCATTCTCAAGTCGATTTCACACAATCGACTTGAGAATGGTCCAGGACGGACCGAAACGTCGTCGTCCCTTCAATTTCTAGTGTGTGGTCTGGTCAACATACTTCAGCCACGTTATTGTGACTCATCGCCTGCGTATGTCTATTTACTTTAGTCGCAGCAGTAGCTACGGGCTCGCCATAGCCCGTGCTACTTGGAACTTTATGTTCCAGGTAACGAATAGAAACAAAAACAAAAATATTTAGACGAATAGTGATTAAGTCGATGGTTTCATAAATGTGTATTTACCAGGGAGCCGGTGGCTGAGCGGACAGAACACTGGCACGTGATCCTGTGGTCTCGGGATCGATCCCGGGCGCCGGCGAGAAACAATGGGCAGCTAGATAACAGGAGCACTCTGATGCTCCTGTTATCTAGCGGTAAATAGGTACCTGGGAGTTAGTCAGCTGTCACGGGGTGCTTCCTGGGGAGGCCTGGTCGAGGACCGGGCCGCGGGGACACCAAGCCCCAAATCATCTCAAGATAACCAACGTCACAGAGGCGTTACAGGGGAGCAGTTATTGCTTGCTGCAATGTTCTTTGCTAAAACACTTCTTCCTAAAATGCTCCTTGCTGAAAGGTTCTTCCTAAAAATGCTCCTTGCTGAAAGGTTCTTCCTAAAAATGCTCCTTGCTGAAATGTTCTTCCTAAAAATGCTCCTTGCTGAAAGGTTCTTCCTAAAAATGCTCCTTGCTGAAAGGTTCTTCCTAAAATGCTCCTTGCTGAAATGTTCTTCCTAAAACGCTCCTTGCTGAAATGTTCTTCCTAAAACGCTCCTTGCTGAAAGGTTCTTCCTAAAATGCTCCTTTAGCAAAAGCCTAAAATGGTCTTTGTTAAACCAGTCCTTCATATAATACTGCTTGCTAAAAGTTCTCCTTGCTAAAAGTTCTCCTTGCTAAAAGTTCTCCTTGCTAAAAGTTCTCCTTGCTAAAAGTTCTCCTTGCTAAAAGTTCTCCTTGCTAAAAGTTCTCCTTGCTAAAAGTTCTCCTTGCTAAAAGTTCTCCTTGCTAAAAGTTCTCCTTGCTAAAAGTTCTCCTTGCTAAAAGTTCTCCTTGCTAAAACGTTCTTTTACTAAAACGCTTCTCTAAAACATTCTTACTAAAATGCTTCTTGCTAAAATTTTCTTTGCTATAACGCTCCTTCCTAAAATGTTCTGTGCTAAAGTGTTCCTTCCTAAATTTTCCTTGATAAAAAGTTCCACGGTAAAGGACTCCTGAGGCGCGCTGCTCCGTAAACCAGGCTATACTTCCACCCCCACTTGGGTAGTCACCTTTGTGCATCTCATTTGAACTGAGGCTCGTGGATTTCTTATTCATCTCTCTGTCTCTCTCTCTCTCTCTCTCTCTGTCTCTCTCTCTGTCTCTGTCTCTCTCTGTCTGGCTCTCTCTCTCTCTCTGTCTGGCTCTCTCTCTCTCTCTGTCTGTCTCTCTCTCTCTCTCTCTCTGTCTCTCTCTCTCTCTCTCTCTGTCTCTCTGTCTCTCTCTCTGTCTCTCTGTGTCTGTCTTTCTCTCTGTCTGTCTCTCTCTCTCTCTCTCTCTCTCTCTCTCTCTCTCTCTCTCTCTCTCTCTCTCTCTCTCTCCCTCTCTCTCTCTCTCTCTCTCTCTCTCTCTCTCTCTCTCTCTCTCTCTCTCTCTCTCTCTCTCTCTGTTGCTTGTACAGTCTTCTCTTACCATCCCCTTTTACTTTAATTACGGTACAATATTAACTTTATTACACAAGATTGGTCACATAGAAGGTAATCGCCATACTTTGCAGAGTTCCTCGGATGATGGCTGGGAACCAAGAACTGAAGTGTGATTTTCTTCTCTGTATTGCCCCACACAGACGCTGGAAAAGGTAGCTTGGAGATCTATAGTCTATTATTTCGAAGAGCCGAGAATCCATATCCTCGAGGCATCCCTCATTTTGGCCCCAGGCGCCAAGTCTCGGAAGGAATGTGCCGACGAAAGTGATGGGATGATCATATTTTCTGTACCTATGTGAGTAGGCTGATTTTCTGTGCGTGGCAGCCCTGATGTCATTGTAGGTCTCAGGCAAGGTTGATACGTGCGTGTTAGGTGTGGGGCTGGTCGACGTGCTGGGGCTGGTCGACGTGCTGGGGCTGGTCGACGTGCTGGGGCTGGTAGATGTGTTGGGGCTGGTCGACATGCTGGGGCTGGTCGACGTGCTGGGGCTCGTCGACGTGTTGGGGTTGGTCGACGTGCTGGGGCTGGTCGACATGCTGGGGCTGGTCGACGTGTTGGGGCTGGTCGATGTGTTGGGGCTGGTCGACATGCTGGGGCTGGTCGACGTGCTGGGGCTGGTCGACGTGTTGGGGCTGGTCGACGTGTTGGGGCTGGTCGACATGCTGGGGCTGGTCGACATGTTGGGGCTGGTTGACATATTGGGGCTGGTCGACGTGATGGGGCTGGTCGACGTGCTGGGGCTGGTCGACATGCTGGGGCTGGTCGACGTGTTGGGGCTGGTCGACATGCTGGGGCTGGTCGACGTGCTGGGGCTCGTCGACGTGTTGGAGTTGGTCGACGTGCTGGGGCTGGTCGACATGCTGGGGCTGGTCGACGTGCTGGGGGCTGGTCGACGTGCTGGGGCTCGTCGACGTGTTGGGGTTGGTCGACGTGCTGGGGCTGGTCGACATGCTGGGGCTGGTCGACGTGTTGGGGCTGGTCGATGTGTTGGGGCTGGTCGACATGCTGGGGCTGGTCGACGTGCTGGGGGCTGGTCGACGTGCTGGGGGCTGGTCGACGTGCAAGGGCTGGTCGGCGTGCTGGGGGCTGGTCGACATGCTGGGACTGGTCGACATGCTGGGGCTGGTCGACGTGCTGGGGCTGGTCGATGTGTTGGGGCTGGTCGACGTGATGGGGCTGGTCGACGTGCTGGGGCTGGTCGACGTGTTGGGGCTGGTCGACATGCTGGGGCTGGTCGACATGTTGGGGCTGGTTGACATTGGGGCTGGTCGACGTGATGGGGCTGGTCGACGTGCTGGGGCTGGTCGACATGCTGGGGCTGGTCGACGTGCTGGGGGCTGGTCGACGTGATGGGGCTGGTCGACGTGCTGGGGGCTGGTCGACATGCTGGGGCTGGTCGACGTGCTGGGGGCTGGTCGACGTGATGGGGCTGGTCGACGTGCTGGGGGCTGGTCGACATGCTGGGGCTGGTCGACATGTTGGGGCTGGTTGACATATTGGGGCTAGTCGACGTGGTGGGGGCTGGTCGACGTGATGGGGCTGGTCGACATGCTGGAGCTGGTCGACATGCTGGGGCTGGTCGACGTGATGGAGCTGGTCAACATGCTGGGGCTGGTCGACATGCTGGGGGCTGGTCGACGTGCTGGGGCTGGTCGACGTGCTGGGGCTGGTCGACGTGCTGGGGGCTGGTCGACATGCTGGGGCTGGTCGACATGTTGGGGCTGGTTGACATATTGGGGCTAGTCGACGTGGTGGGGGCTGGTCGACGTGATGGGGCTGGTCGACATGCTGGAGCTGGTCGACATGCTGGGGCTGGTCGACGTGATGGAGCTGGTCAACATGCTGGGGCTGGTCGACATGCTGGGGGCTGGTCGACATGCTGGGGGCTGGTCGACATGCTGGGGGCTGGTCGACGTGCTGGGGCTGGTCGACGTGCTGGGGCTGGTCGACGTGCTGGGGCTGGTCGACATGCTGGGGCTGCGAAAGAAACCCACTGGATGGCGTAGTGTTTAAAACTGGGGTCATTTACGGGTTGGCTTATCTTAACATACTAAGAAGGTTAGGTTAGGTCGGTGTTTTCTATTAAGCTTTTCAAGGTAAACTAAAATATTCACAATAAATTAGTATGTCACATATGCACTTATTAATAAGCCGATATTGACTATAAGCAAGTGCGAGGGTGCATTTACCCCTGCCAAGTTGCGTAAGTAACCAGGTAAGTTTTTGTTTACCAGAGCATCACATGCTGAAGATGACAACAGTCTTAAAGATGGTTCCTTCCCACGGTAGGGCATCAAGAGAAAGATTAAGAACCTTTTCTAGACCAGATTCAGTAAGCCATCATATTCACTTAGCTTGGTGCTGCTGTGGAGTGTCGAACACCTCATAGATTAACCTTGGGAGAGGCAGGCATCTGGGGAGAAGGAAAGAAGGTAATACGAACATACACGTGTCTTCCTCTTCAAAGATAGTAAATATGGTTTTTTTTCAACAACAGTAAGTTAAGGGTCTTCTGATAGGTTAGGTGGGCAGAAAATTCTCATAAAGTTTCAAAACGGTATGAAAAACGTTAATGGAAAGTTTCCTCTTCTAACCTTGCCGAGTAAGCCGGGCGACTCAAACAGAAAACGGAACAGTACGTCACTTTTGTGAGTCGATTTCATTTCAAATTACGTCCAAATTTGGCCATAGCGCGCATACGAGCCAAAAGTGACGTTATTTTTAAGAGGACGGGTTGTATATATACCTCGTCAGTCGTTTACGAACCAGGAGGAGCACCTATAGGAGCGTGTGCTGCCCTCGGCTATCAGACCAAACGTCTACTATTGGAGTTTTAATGTTTCGGTTTGGAATAAGAGAGCAGGAGAGATTATTTTACACTAGGAATGGTTCAAGGTTCTAGGTTGACTCTTTGCTCTTGAAGAGTTGTGATGTCCTCCAGGAAGGACTTAGGAGACCAGCTAGTGTATCATCATAGAAGAACCTACGAAGCAGTTACGCAAGTACTTATGAACCTGTTCATCTTTTCTGAATCTTTGGCGGTTTTGTTTATATTTACAGTTAATGAGCTCCGAAGCACCAGGAGGCTGTTTATAATAATAACAACAATTGACTGAGACGTTTTCATGTTTATAAACTGTTTAATAAATGTAAACAAAGCTGTCAAAGATTGAAGAAAGATGTACACGTTCATAAGTACTTGCGTAACTGCTTCGTGAATCTGCCCCCGATGTGGAGTTCGCTGGGGAGACTTTCGCTAACTTCTTTAATGACTGAGCAGATAACAAGAGGGACGAGATGGGGGGGGGGGGTGTCACCTTGCTCGACACCTTCACGTGAGTTAATTTCATGTTCACCAAATAAAAGTTTTCAGTCGTCAGTAGCACAAATGTACGGATTGGTAGATGGGCTGAGACGGGAGGGATATGTCGGTGGAGTATTGTCCTCCCCGTCCCATCCCACATCCTTATCCTGACCCCCCTTCCCAGTACTATATAGTGGTAATGGCTTGATGCTTTCACCCCTGAAAATTCCCTCCCTTCTGCGCAAGATGAAAGCATTTTTTAAATCCAGTTTGATCAAGGCATTTCCGTGTGATGTTGGCCATGAGTGCTAGAGCGGCATAGGCTGCCACTTTACAACCCCGAGGAGTGACAAACTCAGTTGATTTCAGTATATCGTCCGCTTCCTGGCTGACACTTCTCGCAGTAGCCTTAACAACGGGCCGCCAGTGTTACTTGTTCCACGGCTGTGGACCTAACTCTTCCAGCTTTCATTCTGAGGCAGAGAGAGGGGCGCATAAGACGATTGTATCGAGCATGCTGCCGGTTAGACTCATGTTGGTGAACAATGTTAGTTGTCGTGGAAGACAAGGATGTCTTTGTTTTTTGTCGTGGTTGGGTCTTTGTTGTTGTTGTCGTGGTGTGCTATACTGGCACTCCGCTGCTCTGGTGACTGTTGCGTGCGGTGTGGGGCACCCTACGGAAGTGGGCGTAGGCCAGGACATGGTTGACGGATAGGGCCATCCTCTACGTCCCCCGCCCTCTTTACCACACACGCTGGTTGGTACTGACTAGCCCCCCTACCCTTCCCGCTCCCTCTCCCCCCCCCCCCCCCCACACACACACACACGTGTGCATGCATTTGGTAATGACATAGCAAATAAAGCCATGATCGAACCTGCTCCACAGCAACATCAAGAGAAAAAAACAGTGAAAGAACAGTTTGTGAAACTGAGAATGGGTGAGGACAGGTACACAGAGAATGACAAAGAGGTGTGTGAAGAACTCAACAAGAGATTCCAGGAGGTCTTCACACTAGAACAGGGAGAAGTCTCTGAACTAGGAGAGGTGGCAATAAACCAGGCAGCCTTGGAAGGGTTTGAAATTAATAGAGATGAGGTTAAAAGGCATCTCTTGGATCTGGATGTGAGGGATCCAGATACTAAAAGAGTGTGCAGAAGCACTTTGCTTGTCACTCTCCAAGGTGTATATAGCAAGTCACTGGAAACAGGAGACTTACGAGAAATATGGAAGACTGCTAATGTAGTCCCAGTATATTAAAAGGGCAACAGGCACTAAACTAGAGGCCAGTGTCCCTAACTTGTATACCATGCAAGGTGATGGAGAAGATTGTGGGAAAAAACCTGGCAGCACATCTGGAGAGAAGGAACTTCGTGACACACCACCAACATGGGTTTAGAGATGGCAAATCTTACCTCACAGGTTTAATAGAATTATATGACCAGGTGACACACATTAAGCAAGAATGAGAATGATGGGCAGACTGCATTTTCTTGGACTCCCGGAAAGCCTTTAACACAGTACCCCCATATGAGGCTGGTGCATAAGTTGGAGAAATAGGCAAGAGAAACTGGTAAGGTGCTCCATTGGATAAGGGAGTACCTAAGCAGTAGGAAGCAGAAAGGGAGGGAATTATCAGGGGAAAGGGCTAATCCATTACGACTATATGGCACTTGGAAAAAGTCAGGATAACGATTTGGGATATCTTATCTTGAGATGATTTCGGGGCTTTTTAGTGTCCCCGCGGCCCGGTCCTCGACCAGGCCTCCACCCCCCAGGAAGCATCCCGTGACAGCTGACTAACACCCAGGTACCTATTTTACTGCTAGGTAACAGGATGGGTAACAGAATTCCTTCCCCCGGGAGAGGACGGGGGAAGGAATGATGCCCAACCACTTGGACGGTCGGGGATTGAACACCGACCTGCATGAAGCGAGACCGTCGTTCTGCCGACCAGCTCAAGTGCTATTTAGGTCTACTAGAGCTGCTGAGGGAATTTGACCCTTTCTTGGAAGAACATCTCAGAATGTATGGAAATCCTGGGAAAGGGAATCCGTTATATTTATCTGCATATATTTGTGATGAATTTATTGAATTGATATGACAACAGGTTCTTTGTACTATACTTAAAGAAGTAAAAGTGTCAAACTATTATTTAATAAGTGTAGATTTCACTCCAGACATTTCACACACAGATATCAACTTTATTTATTTATGTATTTATATATATATATATATATATATATATATATATATATATATATATATATATATATATATATATATATATATATATATATATATATACAAGAAGGTACATTTGGATTGTGAATATACATAGCATAGTAATTACATTCTTGTAAAGCCACTTGTACGCGCAGCGTTTCGGGCATAAACTGACATTTACTCTCCGATACATAACGGGGTGAGAATAGCTTGAGCTACCTCATCCCTTTGTGTGTATTTTACCTCTAAACTTATTTCAATTTCAATTTCTCCGATACATTAAAGGCTGTAAGTGTGTAGAACGTTTCTTGATGTTCATCCCCATCTCTTCTCATGGAGCAAAGGAGCTAACACTGTCGAGGATTTTCTTAATGAGAACCAAATTCCACTATCAAACTGCCGTGGTCAGTCATACGATAATGCCTCAAATATGTCTGGACGATATACTGGATTGCAAGCACAGATTCATCAACTCAGTGACCTTGGTGGGAGTACAAGCAGCAGTGTTGTTTATAGACTGTCAAATTCATCGACTTTGTTCAGCATCTGTATTCATTTTTTGCTGGTTCTACTTATCGCTGGAATGTATTGATATCATCTTTAGGAAAATATTTTGTGGTCACGCGTCTGACTGACACACGATGGTCAGCACATTGTGATGGTGTTAGCACATTGTGATGGTGTTAGTACATTGTGATGTGGAGTCTGTACTCACCTAGTGAGTACTGTATGGAAGGTTCGAGAAAATAAAACATGCACTGGATTCTCTTATCAACTGACAGACAATGAACAAGTGAATACAAGGAGAGAGGCAGAAGGAGTGAGTAAAAAAATGGAAAACCTGGAAACAATCTTTC